GGGGGGTGCTATCTCCAAAGAGGAGTATACCTCCTCTGCTCGGGCCTGTAGGGGGACTGTCAGGAAAGCTAAGACAGACATAGAGCTAGGACTTGCATCCAAAATCAAAGATAATAAAAAGTCCTTTTTCAAATATATAGGGAGGATGAAGAAAGCACTGGGAAATGTGGGGCCCCTGCAAGATCCTCTGGGCAATCTGGTGGTTGCACCAGAGGAGAAAGCAGACCTCTTTAATCAATTCTTCACCTCCGTTTTCTTGGGCAGGGACTGGGACTTCCCCATCGTGATGCAAGATAGACTCGAGGGGAATGCCTCCAGACCTCAGGTTGGGGAGGAGCGGGTTAGAGAGTTTCTGGAGGGGCTGGACATGTTCAAATCAGCGGGTCCAAATGCTCTCCACCCCAGGGTATTGAGGGAGCTAGCAGGGGTTATTGCAGGGCCCTTAGCACGGCTTTACGAGCGCTCGTGGTGCTCGGGCCAGGTGCCAGATGATTGGAAGATAGCCAACGTAGAATATGTCATAGAATCATAGAAGTAGGGTCGGAAGGGACCTTGTAGATCTTCAAGTCCGACCCCTCTTTAAGAAGGCCTGTGACACTGTCTTTCACCCCATTCTCATAAAAAAACTAGGTGACTGTGGCATTGATGCCTACACAGTCAGATGGGTGGCGAACTGGCTGGACAGTTGCACACAGAGAGTGGTGGTGGACAGGTCATTTTGACCTGGAGGGATGTGGACAGTGGGGCTCCCCAGGGCTCGGTGAGATTTGACACAGGCCTGTGGTGGCTGCCAGGGGTGAGATGGGGCCAGGGTTGGGTGCTGGGTGGAATAAAAGAGATCGCCAGGGCCAGTACCATGTCCAGGGTTCTCCAGTTGTCTTTGGTGACCTCCACTGCCTGGCATACGTTGGGTCCTCCTGGGCCTCCACATGCCTATCCTGAAGGGCAGGTGCCTCTCTTGAAGGGCAACCTGTCTATTAATTAGCTGATTTGCCAACTCCTCAATAAAGTACATGTGTAGAAGCACCCCAGAATGATTAGTGGTATGGATGGGTTTCCATATGAGGAGAGACTAAAGGAGCTAGGCCTATTCAGTTTAGAAAAGAGATGCTTCAGGAAGGGTCATGATAAGGATTTACAAAATACTAAATGGGGAAGAGAAAGTAAATAGGGATTTATTATTTACTCTCTGATGATACAAAAACTAGGGATCACAAAATGAAACTAGTAGGGAGTAAATTTAAAACTAACCAAAGGAAGTTCTTTCACACACAGTGGGTGTGTCTACGTGTGCAATTAATGCAAAGCAATAAACTGCTCTGGGGTTTTTTGTTTCCAGCCACACCATTTGAATGTGTGCCCGGGACTGTAGCACATTGAACTGGGTTGGAGCAGCCTGACCTGGCAGGGGGCACTGGAGGTCAACCTGCCAGCCTGGGGCTGTTCCCCCTGCCCCAGCTCAATGTGCTGTGGAGGGCCTGGCTGGGGCATGTGCTCTAGTGCGGGGCTAGCCAGCAGGCGGCCCCTGCATTGAAGCACCTCCGTGCCCCAGCCAGCCAGGAAAACATCTACATGTGTGCTACTGCACAGTAAAAAACTCCACAGCAGCAGGATAGTATTTGTATTTAGTAGTGCTATCCCACTGCAGAGTTAATTAGTTTAATCCAGCCTAAAAGGGCACACATGTAGATGCACATTTACAATGGAGCTAATTAGTTTACTCCCCAGTAAACATCTCATGTAGTAATTAAAGTATGGAACTCAGTACCACAAGATGATCAGGAAGCTTCCAGCTTAACCAAATTCAAAGCAGGGATTGGACAAATTCTTACAGGAAAGGGGCACCAGTAGCTATAGAGCATGGTTATTAGGGGTACAACCTCTGAATCAGAACTTTCTAGACCTTAAATGCTGAAGGCTGCAAGTGAGAGAGGAACAGTGGAAAACACCCTCATCATTCCCAGTTCACTTTCCTTTTCAGCACCTCTCTGGCACTGAGAAACACAGACCTATTTGATGTACCATGGGTCATGGACTTGTGCCCATCGTGGAAAACTATAAGCCTCCCAAACTAACAGAGGCCACTGGGAACATGCCAACTGATTAACTGGGACATATAAAAAGCAAACGAGGATGCGAATGAGGCCATAGGTTAATAACAAGGAACCCGGAAGGGAACACTGAACAGAGCACACTAGCCAGAGACCACTGCCCCAGGACTGAGTCAAGGGAGCCTGTGGCCACTGATCAGTGAAACAGTGCTTGGAGACATGAATGAAGGAGTGACAGGCAGGCAGCTCTATATTCACCTGGGGTTCCCACAGCTTGAGCCTCCTTCCTGGTTTTATCGATGGTCTGTTTGGCGGAGCTCCATGGAGCCTGCTGAGTCAGGGGCCCCACAATGAGCTCAGGAGGGCTGGGGGATACCAAAGGCAGGTCAACTGCAGGATTATTATTGTGCTTTTAGGATCAGTGAGTATTTTCCTTGATAAATGAGGCAGGATGACAGACAAGCTCAAAAGATTTATTCAGCAACATCACACCAATCATACTATTACTGCAGATTGCCAGGAAAAGAAGATTTGTTAACAGAGATGGTATGTAACAACATGAAATGCTTTGTCCCAGTCTAGTCCATGTGTCCTGGTACTGAAGAATTAGTTAAAACTCTTAACTTCCACTACACATCTAGGACTAGGATGCTACTTGCAGGAGAACTATGGGACCAATTATGCCAGGTTTCCTCACTGCATAGTACTTCCATGAGAAATGTTTCAGGCTGCCCCCTAAAGCTACAGCTCCCAGGGAATGGAGGTGCAGAACATAGCCCAGTAACTCTATACTATGGGAACAAACACTCAGATGAGGAATCTCTGTTAGGATTAGGGAAACCAAGAAGCGGAATGTTTGCTTCTCTTCCGACAGGAACGGAGAATAGTTTTTTACTGAGGGCCAAATCATGCAGCGGTTTATATACACCTCACTCTGCAGATCAAATTTCCCTTCAGCATGTTATGTTCCTCTATGTGTTTCATGCTTGGTTTTTTGACCTGGGGACAAAGTCATGAGCACAATGCTGCACACTTCCCTTGATGTTAGACTCGTGAGGAAGGTGAGCAAACTGGATCATTTTGTCCCAGCTTAACTCCATTAGGCAGGCACCTTTCAAAATCCCACCTTTCAAAATCCCAACAGAGTAACATAACCAATGAAAAGAAGCATTCACCACTTGAAGATGTGTATGGTTTAGTAACTGTCCACTGCACGCTTCAGGGATCCAACCCTGGATGTTATGGCTCCCCATTCGGTGATCCTCCTGTAGTCTCTGGGTCTCAGGAGGTACTGTCGTCCTCGGTAGTTTGGCTGCTCATAGAAAATCCAGTGTCCTTCCAAAACTTGGCAAGACTGGATATCTCCATAATGAAATACTTCATGGAGAGAAGGACAGTCATGCATGAACTCCATCTTCCTGCCTCCAAAGTCAGTCTTCTCATAAATTCGGATCCTGCTGGTGCCCTTGAACTGTGGCAAACACACAAGGATATGAGATGTAAGCAATAGTTCTGTCTGTCTGTAGGTCACTCTGCTTTTAAGCCATTCATGAAAAGTAAATGAAAGAACCCTTTTGTTTAATCAGTTAAAAAAAGGCCTCATTCATTCCTTACTCAGTAGTGAATTTGACCCTTTTTGCTTCAGAGCTACACAAAATGCACCCGAGCAGATGTCAATGAAGTGACATTGGTTTACATTATTTGGGAACTGAGTCTTGTTTGTATGTATTTTGTCTTCCTTTAGGAACAGACAGGAAAAGGGTAAGTGGTACCTGGATGGCTAGTGTGTGCCTAAGCTACCTTTCCCCAAAATAGGCTCAGGGAAACTTACAATGAATTACAGAAGCAGGATAAAATATTAATATAAGAAAGTAGAAACCCCCCTCCCTCTCCTGAAGATCCCCGCAAATTCAAAGCAAACCCCACTTCACTCACTCTCAATCTCTTGGCTTTTACAAGGATAAGGGCACTAGATAAGGGTTTGCGGGGGTGGGGCTGGTTTCTGTAGATGACTCTGTTAATTTTCCCAAATGTAAGCATTATATCCAGAGAGAAAGTACATACCTGGCACAAAATAGACAATTTCACCAGAAATGGTTTATGTCTGACTCAGATATAAAAAATGGAAAACAAGATCTTCAACTGGGGTGTATCAGGAAACCTTAGTAATAGGAAGAGCTATCAGCCATCCATAACACAATGACAGAGTAAAGGAGGGTCTTGTGATCGAGGCATTAAACATGAACTCAAGTAATACTTGGTCCAACTTGAAGCTCTGCTACAAACTCCCCTGTGACCTCCACTGGCCTGCTTTCTGCATTCTTAGGCAGCTAAGCCACTTTTGAAATCTGCCTCTTAAACTTATCACCCTTCTGTGTCTTTCTCTATCTTGGCCTTGTCTCTCAGTCAAGACTGCAGGGTTTCTAGGGCTGGGACTGCGCAGGGAGCCCTGAGCTTGGCAGAGGCCACTCACTGTGTTTTCATACCAATAAGGGTCAACCACAGCAATGCCAGTGAATTTACCTGTGGGATTAGGATGCAGGACCTGATGGAGTCATTGAATCCCATCCACTGCTGGTAGTCTGAGTATCTTCCCCTCTTCAAGAAGTACTGATGGCCTGTGTAGTTGCTGTGCTCGTAGATCATCCAGCAGCCACTTTCCACCCTGATGGAGTTGCAGCGGTTTAGGTAAGACTGCATATCGGGCTGATCTGAAGTAACCTCATAGGAGTGGCCCTCAAAGTTTCTGCCCTCATAGAAAATGATCTGCATAAAAATGAAAGGTAACAGTCATAATATTAGAAAGCCTTGGTTTTAAACAGTGACTCTGGCCTTCTGGTTCTGCAACTCTGACTTTCTGGTTCTGATCTACAATCTTTCTGAAGTAGTGGAAAGGCTTGCACTGTCCTCACTGTGTATCAGGGTTAAAAAATCATCAGGATACATGGATGCAGAAAGAAGTAATGATTTTCAGCTGATCCGGCCACAGAAAGCAGACTATGGCTGTGACTGAACACAAGTGCATGGCTGCAGACAGCTTGAAAAATGGCTGATCGGGTGAAAATCTGAACCCTCTTTGCATGAGGTATCAGATAAAGATATTTAAAAATGTAGTGTCTTCTATAACTTGTTTCTGCAGCACTCTCAGCCTGTTGCTGTCTTCAGAATGGGAAGGGGGAAAGGGAGCAGAAGGAGTTCAGTCCGGGGGGGGTGTTTCAGCCCCCCAGAGGGTGGATTGGAACCCCCTAAGGTGTGGGGGGGGGCTCCAATTCACCCACCTCACCCTTGCCTCCCTCTCATTCTGGAGCACTGGCAGAGTGGCTATTGCTCAGGGAAGCTGGCTGCAGGCTCCCAGCCAGCAGCTAGATTCCCATCTCCACTGGAACCAACGGTGAACTTCTGTTTGGTCTGGGGTAACAGTGTAATTCAGAGCACTTTAGAGACAATGTTCTGAGTTACAGCTGGAAGCTGCACTTCTCTATGCACCCTTAAGGAAGCCCAGACACATGTTTTCCAGCTGGAAATGAAAATGAGTGTAAGAGACATTTGCAAATGTCCCTGTTTGGGATCCTACAACCCTAGGGTTTGTTGGGACTCCCAGCTGGTCAGATAGACATTGTGTGTTAGCTTTCTGGGAGTCTAGGAAGACAGAAACATTAGCCATTTTGATGTGCTACAGAATTTAGGGATTTGACAATGCTAGAGCAGCTGCACAGAAAAACCAGGCCAGGAAAGACTGTCCCTCCTATAAAGGCAGGTGCTATGCTCATTGAATGGAGTGGCAATGCTCTTACTGATTTTAATAGGCTGAACCCAGTTTCTGGTCCCCAACATTTGTAAGGCATTTGTCTAACACCTCAGTCATAGTGCTGTTAAATAGCAGCAATCATGAGCTTTTAAGTAATGACAAACAGAAAATTAAGCAAACAAAACTGAAAATAAGGCATTAAAGGGCAGTGTGTGTATACACACACACACACACATACACACACACACACACACACACTCAATTTTAGAAAATATACACTTATTTTTTCTTACCTTTGCCATTTTAGCTCCTGTTTAGATGGAGATTGTCATGTGCTGCATAGAGGAAGTGACCCTTTATATAGGAAACACTGTGCTGGGTTCACATGGATTGGACAAAAGAGACCATTTTGCTCAGTAAAGCAAATTAACAGTCCTCTGTTCCTCTACACCATCATTTTTCATTGTAAACTATTGTGGATGTCTTCTGTTTACTGGGCAGGAAGATTGTTGTTAAGGTCAATAACTAAAGGATCAGGGCAAAGAATATGTTGAACAATTTTGTCATTATGTCACGGAGGGTCTCGTGTTCAAGAGAAAATGCTGGAACTGTTGCCAGGGAATTGTTTCCTGACATTTATTGTTAATTACTCATTGTTTCTGATCCTGTGTGACAAAGCCTTTAGAGCTCTCCTGATATGCAGAGTGCACCTGAGCTGCATGGAGGGAGTTATGAAACAGGGCAGGTGAAAGAAGCCTTCCAGTGATCAGATGAGATGTTTTCTGTGCTTGTTTCCTTTGTCTCTGGAAAGGGAGGCCACATGGCTATTGAGATCATGGGTCTTTTGTCTTATATTCCAAGTTCCAGTGTATAGTCTCCACATGGCCTTTATTATAAAAATTCCACAAATTTGCACATCTGGCTTTGTCAGCTCCAGGCTAATATCCTTCCTTCAGTCTGTGCACCTCCAAGAGAGAATGGTCCCAGAATGTTTCCTTTCGACCTGAAGGAAGTTGAGGATTTCACCCAAATAACTTGTTGTAATCAGCATCCCATCCAGCTGGGTTCAGTTTCTCTGGCCTGAGTCCAGGTTGATCTGGGTGTGAGCATGTTCGTCCTGCCTCGCTAGGATGAACATGCTCATTGCCATCTCATTTTGATCTACAGAAGAGGGATGAAAAATGAGGGTCCAGTGACCTTTTGTGTATTTTCTTTCTTGTATTTTCTGGGTTGTCTTGGAGACTACTGAGAACTGAGGACCAACAAACAGGTGTGACCAAGGCCACTAGTGGTAGCCCAAGCTGTGAGAAAGGGTGGCTTTCTGGTCTTGTCTCCATGGTAGTGGCATGTCCCAACCAAGGCAGACTCAATCATGCCCAACCTCCTCCCTTAGGGATGCTCTGAACCAGGAAGTTCACTGGTCAGGTCACTGGTGGTTGTCTTGTGTCCTGGGCAGCACATGGTGCTGCCTCAGAGGGAATCAGCCTCCAGAGGCAATCACAAGGGCCATTGGTCCCAGTTGTTGAGTTGTGCAGAGACCCACGTTGCTTCATGCTGATCAGTTAGGGCCCAGGAGTTTGACACAGGTTTGCTCTGGGCAGTGCCTGAGATCTGAGTGACTCCTGAACAATGCACAGATCCCTGGCTCTCCACTAGGAAATGTTGGGCTGTGGACTCTGTTTTTCCAGATCTGCCCTTTGCCTGCCTAGTCAGGCAGACTTAATGTTTTGATTCCTTTCTATGCATAGGGCTTGAAACAAGAGAAGGTTCGCTTCTGCCCATGGACAGAGAAGATTGAATTTCCATGGAAGGGTAAGGACTTTGAACTTCCTTAGGTGCTGGTATAACCCCCTTATACTGCAGAAGGGAACTTTTGAAAATGTATCCACCTTGGGAAGGTCAGTCAGACCCTCTTGAGCATGGTGGGATAATGATGGTGGCTGGTGGCCATGTTGGGTGTACAGTTGAGGTCAAGGGAAAAAAAACCCTACTGTACTAGCAACTAGGTTAGAGTGCCTGTGACAATTGGGGTCCAGAGGAGCAGGGCTTCATTGACTAAAATGAACTGTGCTTTTGGAAAACACTGCTTCATCAGCGCTCAGTGAGCTCCTGCTAGCAGGCGGGTAATATAACTGTCCAGTCTTCCAGGACCTGAAAGACATTGAGGGGAATTTAAATAAATTTTCTCAACCAGAGAAGCATGCATCCTGCTCTGAGGACCTGCTGAGAAAAAAGAAATGAAACACAAGCATGTTGGATCCATCCAGAGGCTCCAGAGGAGGAGGATTCAATTTGTGCTAACTGAGATCAATCCTCAGAGGTTTGAATCACCCCAGTAGGAGGGCTGTGGATTCTGCGTAACGGCAGAGTTTCAGATGCCCGTGTCAGGAACTGAGTATTAAGACCTGATGTAACCCCAGGTTTTTGAACTTGCACTGTTGTGTTATTAAGCAGGCTCAGCTGAGGCTTAGTTGAGAAAGGCCAAGGAGTAAAATATCAAACTCCTGTCCCACGTTCCCGTAAATGAGGATTGGCAGTCCCTTTTTGAGTTTTGGCAGGGAAAGTAGAGTGACTGACAGGTGAGTGAGGCATGGGTGAGAGATAAGAGCTTTCCCTTGAAAGGTTGTTGCAGTTTCAATGAGTGGAAGGCCTGTTTGTCAAGGAGACTGCAATATTTAGTGTACGATTAGGTAATGACAAGGTGGCCTTTGCTATAAAATAATGCGGGAAGAGCATCTCTGTGCACATCTGGGTGCTCTATGAGTGTGGCTAGGTCACTCCAGAAGTGGGTTCATATGTGCCTGAGGAAGCAAGTCTGAGTCTGTGTGGCACATCTGCAGGGGGGAAATACCATGACCATGATGGTGGCAGGGGAAGTACCTTTACCGAGGTAATGCAATTAAAATGGCAATGTATAGTGGAGGGTTGCTCCCTTGTCTGCTTGTGGACAGGACTCCCTATGATATTTTCATAATTAGCTTCCCACTGGCCAGCTTCTAGTGGGAGGATCTTGGCTACACACTGACTTTATGGAAATGGGAGACTCCTCCCTAGTTTCATCTTGTGGCCATATGGCTTAGAGAAAGCAAAACTTGGGGGCATCCAAACCCCAAGCCTCTGGGAACGGGCCTGCATGTAGGATGCCTGCCAAAGGATTTGGAAACATCTGAAGCCCCAGGTTGGGGTGGAGGATACTTGCTGGTAGCTGGGCCATGTATGGTTCTTGAATGATTTACACAGATTTGGAATTGATTTGGCTGATTTGGCTTGGGATGCAATTTTTTTTTTAATTAAAGGGAAATATCTGCAGATCTGTACAGTAGCTGCTGAGTATGGCTGGCTTCTGAGAGAGTGGTCCAATCCAGAAGCAGACAGACCAGTCCCTGTAGTGAGGCAGTGATCAGCAGGACAAAGTCTATCATAGATTTCATAGACATTAGGGCTGGAAGGGACCTCGGAAGATCATCAAGTCCAGCCTCCTGCCCTAGGGGCAGGAAGTCAGCTGGGATCATAGGATCCCAGCAAGATAAGCATCCAAATTTCTCTTGAAGGCATTCAATGTGCATGAACCACCTCTGGTGGCAGGCTATTCCAGACCTTGGGGGCTCGGACAGTGAAGAAATTCTTCCTTATGTCCAGCCTGAAACAGTCTTGCTGGAGTTTATGACCGTTCGACCTTGTCATCCCTTGGGGTGCTCTGGTGAACAATCGTTCCCCCAGATCTTGGTGAACACCCCTGACAAACTTATAGGTGGCCCTCAGATCACCCCTGAGCCGGTGCTTTTCCAGGCTAAAGAGCCCCATAGCTCTCATCCTGTCACCATAAGGTCTGTTTTCCTGACCTCTGATCATGCATGTGGCTCTTCTCTGGACTCTCTCAAGCTTCTCCACATCATTTTTGAATTGAGGAGCCCAAAACTGGATGCAGTACTCCAGCTGTGGCCTCACCAAGGCCGAGTACAACGGGAGAATGACATCCTGGGATTTGCTTGAGAAGCATCTATGGATGCAAGCCAGTGTTTTGCTTGCTTTACTGGCCACAGCATTACACAGAAGGCTCATGTTCATGTTGTGGTCAATGATGACCCCCAAGTCCCTTTCATTCGTAGTGCTAGCCAGCGTAGCACTGATGAGCCTATAAGGAAGCTGCAGGTTTTTCCTCCCAAGGTGGAGAACCTTGAATTTTTCAGTGTTAAACACCATCAGGTTCTCATCTGTCCATTTCCTGAGCCTGTCCAGGTCAGCCTGGATCACCCGCCTGTCCTCAGGCGTGGATGCTTTGCCCCAAAGTTTGGTATCATTTGCAAACTGGGCCAGTCCGCTTCTGACTCCAATGTCCACAGCATTAATGAAGATGTTGAACAATATAGGTCCAAGGACAGAGCCTTGGGGGACTCCACTGGTCACAAGGCACCATGATGATTGACTTCCATCAACCACCACCCTCTGGGTCCAACCATGGAGCCAATTCCCCAGCCACCAGGTCATGGTGGACCCAAGGCTGCAGTTGGCCAGTTTTGCCAAGAGGTGATCATGGGATACCAGATCAAAGGCTTTTTTGAAGTCAAGATATATGATGTCAATCCCCTCTCCCATGTTCAGGTTGTAGCCGCTGGGTCTCAACCAGTCGCTCTCGTGCCGCTCTCGCTCAGGTGATTGATGTTACGCATCTCTGGGGCTCGCGCCTCTGTCTGATCTGGTGACTTCCACCCGAATCCTTAACCCCGTGCTCGCCTGCCACGACTTTATGACCTCAGTGTCCGGGGCTGTTCATCGGGCGTGCTCGTTGACCCAAGGTTCCTCCCAGCAGTTACTCACGGGGCTCTGCCACCCCTACACCCCGGCCTTATGCCTCCTGTGTAGCTGGTCGGCATCTCAGCCCTGGGACCCTCGACCGGGTCCTGCTCAGGCCCTCCCAGCACTATCTAGCCTACAGTGCAGGTCCACTACCCTCCAATACCCCGTGGAGCTTGGGGTAGAACAAAATC